GCTCTCTTGTTGCTCTCCTCCCCAGTATCTTGCCAAAACAGGCAGGAAATATTTATAATTAGGACTCTTGCATTATCATGAAAAAATATTTTAAAACGTAATCAGAATCTCACTCTATAAACCCATAGTTGATTCTGACTTCAAGTAGTTACTAGACTACTACAATCTTGGAGCAGGTAGAGATGTTAGACTCTGTAATCAGAAGTAAGCTCTTATAATTCCACAATGCTTTAGAAGATGCCTTTGTTTTTATTTTTTCATAGGAAACCATTAGTTTTCTAGCATAAATCAGAATGTGACAATCTCAGTCACTTTAAGTTCTGAAGTCAGGATCAATGTATTTATTAACACTTTTCAGTCTGTGAACATATGTTACAGATTTGCTGTCTCTGCATTTGCCCTGTATTTTTGTGAAGCTTCTTGTTATCTCAAGCATATCATCCCTTGTAGTGTAAAGACTTGCAGTCTTACTATAACGACTTGCAATCTTACCTAAAAGATACTGCAGCTGATGAAAATTTTCTTGTTAGGTCAAGAAAGCCTGGAAAATTTGTTTTGAGAGGGCAGTAAAATAGGTAGTATGATGCAGAATTTACAACTTTGAGAGCAGCAGGAGAATAACATGCTTATTCTCTCTTGAAAGCATGATAGGGTAAAATAGATTTCTTATGATTCTTATGATTTCCCTAAGGAGAATCAAGGTATAAAGGTATATTAATTTTTTCTGATAAATAGAGTTTTTTAAAAGGTACAGTGATTAATAATATTAAGAGGAAATAGGAAATTCCGTCATTGATTGTAGTGTTTTGTAATGCAAATATAATGAACCGTCATATATAAAAATAGTTTTATGTTTCTGTTCTTTTTGTGTGTTCATGTTAGTGTTAAAATTTGTGTTGTATACTTAGAAATAGAACTATGGTGCTCAGGTACTGGCAGAAATTAAGTGTATTTTAATATTGTTCTAACTTCTGTACTGTTTCTCTGCCATGCTTTGAATTTAGTTATGTTCTTGGTAAAGACTTTAAAATGTAATCTACACAAACCTCGAAGAACTAAAAAGGTTTCATTTGAGAATACACTTTTATTTTGTTCTCTATTTTTTGCTTGTTTTATTTGTTTCTAAATTGTATGGCTATGGCTGTAGGAAATTATTGAGTGGAAAATGTTTTGAGATCTTTAACTAAAGAGAGAAATTAAGCTCTCAAATGCAAAAATATTCCATCACTGAGAAAGCAAAAATTACTCTAAAAGGGTATCACTTTCAGGGATGGAAATTTTATGAAACATATATGTTCATTAATTTGCTTTATTATTTGGTGTTATTTTTGCTATTAATTTGATAATGTTTCCGTATTTATAATAAAAGATAATAGAAACATTAACTGTTTGCACATATATATATATATCTGTGAATCACAAATGAAGGTAAAATACGTGGAACAAATAAAATTTATGTAACTGTAAATGTGGATTAGTTGTTAAAACAGACAGACTGTATAAGGTAGGGTCATATCCCAAAAGTGCAAATGGAAGGACATAGAGAAAAGCATTTAATTTTTTTAAAGGGAAGTTATCATCATCTCATGCAGCCACTTTTTCTGTCCAAAGAAATAAGCAAAGGCTTACTGAACTCTATTATTTATGGAAGTGAAAAGGATATAATGGAATATTTATAAATAATTTGCCTTTTATCTAATTTACACTACTAAGTATAACTTGTGTACTATTTTCCCTTTTTCAGAAATCATGAATATCATATAAACATTGAGAATGTTCACTGATGTGTTGTTTCTGTGATGTCTGAGGCAGGATTTCATATTATGTCTTGTGATTTTAAAAAGAAATTTTCAAAGAAGGTATAGTATCCATGTCCCAAGTGGCATCTAGCATATCTGAAAGCTTCTACCCTATATTCCTTTGAACAAGGGCTTTTGTGGCAGAATCTTGTCATTTTTTTTCTATCAGCTGATCTAATAAGATATATTACTGCTCTTCATAAGCTTTCCTTTAATATCTAGCTTTTGTTTTTGGAGAATAGTGTCATAGGTCTGAATCAAACACATTGGAATTAACTGTGACCAGAAGCACATATGTAAACGTCAGTGCTGAAGCCTAACCTTTTTTTTAACACTGTCAACTATATATTGCCATCTGGCTTTCTCAATCTGTTTTCTAAGAAAATGTAAATGTTTCCACCCTGCTAGCAGGGAAGTCCAGTGTACATCATAGAAGAGTGAGGATGTAAAGCTCAGTGCTCTGTTAGTGGCTAAAAGAAGTAGCAGACAGCCCAAAGCACCATGCTTATCTGTTGCTGTAATTCAGGAGCCAAAGTGATATTTCCTTCTGTTCCCAACTGATAACAAGTGCAAAATACAGGCAAAAATAACTTTGCGACAACTGCATTCCTATTAAAAAAAAAAAAAAAAAAGAAAGAAAACGCAACTGCTGGGCTGATTGGCAAGATGTTGAAAATGCTCATAGGTTTGCTGACGCTGAAATGTGGAGAAGTGGAACTAAGGGAAGGGGAAACTGAGTTCTGGGGAAAAAGAGGGGAAGAGAAGCCAAGAAAAGACATAGCAAAAGATTAAGTACAGAAAGAAAACAATTTTAATTTAAAATTTAACAAGGAAGGTATATTTTGAGAGAAAATATCTTTTGCTTCACTGGAATTGAAAATGTGTACCCAGTTTGTTTCCCTACAGTAGCTGAAGCGTGAGAGAAAAATCTCATGACACTGTTGCACAGGTTTGTTTCCCAATTTCAAGTTAGGAGTAACAAAAGAGAAGAGGTTTTTACCTCTTAACCTCTGGTGATGATTCAGTCTCCTGCACTTCTCTGCCTTGGAGAATTCCAGACTAGACTTGTTTGGAAATTCACCATTAGAATACTTTCTGTTAAGAAATTATTAGTTGTTCTCAAGATGCAACTTGTGATGACATATACAGCAAAGTGGATTTATCTTTGAAGCACTTTGGAGAGATTTAATTCTCAGTTGCACATTTTACTCATTAACCTTTGCAGTCTGGAGACATGGTTGTATTTCCCTGCACTTTTAGAAAAATTGTTGGTTTCTGCCAAAGTCTACAAACACTTTTGGAATTCTGCCTGTGAATAAATGTTTTGAAATTCAAAAATATTACAGGACTTGTAACAAAAGCCCTTTTTCAGCTCTCTACTGATAGTTATTTGTGGTCAAATCACATTGACCACAAATCGCATTTTAAATTAAATTTGTCTGAACAGATGATTTATTTATAAACAGACTCCAGTAATGCTTATACTGAAGGGCCAACTACTGAAAGGGCTTCTGAGAAAATGAGTTTACTAATGGTGTAAGTCCAGGGCTGCAAAGTGTTTCTGGAATAATGTAGACTTTTTATTTTTTGGAATTATATATATAACTAAGATAAGGAATTTGTTTCTTGTTATTAAAATTAGAATATAGTAAAAGGAACCTTCAGCTGTTAGGTAATCGCATATTAATTTTATAAGATTATTTCAATTGTTTTGGACTAATTAATTATTTAAGCAATTAAACTACAGGAAAAGCGTTATTGAATTTTTTTTAAAGTTAGAGCATACTTATTATTCTGATGAAATAAAAATGTGCAATTTCCCCTAAATAAAATAACATTAATTCTTAAAATAATGTCAGTATGTGACAAGGTCTAGTTCTTCTAGATGTTTACACTCTAAATTAAAGGCCATAAATTTTTCAGATGTGCAGTGCCTCTCCAACAAGTATTTATATTAGCATTGAATAACTAACTATACAGTATTAATCCATCTTCTTGTAGAGTCTTTTTATAACCTATCATTTCCTCATAAGTTGTATATCCTTTACAGCAAGGAATGCTGATGGATAAAGAGCTGAAATTTTCTAAGCCACCTGTGATTTTCTGAATATTGTTGTTCTGTCCATATTGCTACCATTGCATGAAAACTTACTATTAAGTTATTTTAAGTCAGTGAGTTTCTGAAAAATTTGTCTCCTGTAGAAATCTATTCATTGTGTTGTAATAAAGCTGAGAGTTGTAATACATTTGGTTCTCTTTCAGTTAGAAGGACAGAAATATCATATGGTCACAAGACAACAAAATTACTGAATATTTACTTCCAGGTGTAATAAATCTCTGGTTTTTCCACTGTGTTTTTTTCCACGTTTCCATTAATATCTCTGTCCCCTCAGATATCTCTCTGTTGTCATGTTGCTACTGGTTGACCTTCTTCTGCCTGCAAATAGCTTCCATGAAGACTTACAGTATATTTTTTTTCCCAGAAACTTCACTTAAACTGATTTGGCTATGATTTTCAGAACCATCTTTTCCCCATCTTCTTGATATTATATTACACTCTTGATATATTAGATTGATATTACAGTATAGTATAGTATAGTAGAGTATAGTATAGTATAGTATAGTATAGTATAGTATAGTATAGTAGTTGCTCTTTCAGTCAGTTAGGACTTCTTATCTTCATTTCCTTTCAAAGGTGATAGAGAGCAATTTAAAATTGAGAGACCTTTTCTTTAACCTTTTGTTTTATAAATCATTTTCTCATAAATTTGAAGTCTATAGTCTGTAATAAGAAGAAACTTGGAAAAAAGAAACGGTACTTCAAGATCAAAATGAAAATGAATATTTCTTATTTAGATACCTACATTAAGCTCCTTTGCTCTGAAACACTTAATTTGCTACTGCTAAATTCTCTGACTAATTTCTTCAGCATCAACATTTTTAAATCCATACATATTTGTATAAATATATATATGAATAAATGTACACAAAATGAATTCTTTTTAGACCACTTATTTATATGTATATTGTATCACACAATCAAGGAGAAATTCAAAGAGTGAAACTGTTTATGCTTCTATCCTTTGTGTAACTGTTTTGATGACCCCTCTAATGAGACAGGCTAAGATAATATAATAAATGTCTTATTACACTTGGAAGATAGGGAAGAAAAATAGTAACTGACACTCTGTTTCATTCCAGGTGGGAGTAAAAAACAACTGTTTTCCTCACCATTTACAACCAGTTAAGAATTTGACTGACAGAATGTTGGCACCAGCTGTGGCAGAACTGATCAGCCTCAACTCCAAGTAAGTGATGTCTTACACATTTGGAGATTCATTTCAGACTAAATTTACAAAGCCTACTGATTTCTAGCAACAAACACAAATTAAAAATACACTTTATATGGCACTGTAGAGGACATAGACTTCCCTTGTTGTAGAATTCTTAAACATATCTTTAAATCAGTGTGTAATTTCATCTGTTCATAATGTTACTTGGCAAATTGGATGCCACCTCATTCTGATTCCTCTTCCTTTCTAGGCAATTAAAAGCACTATCTGAAAGTAATGACAAATTATTGTGAAACATAAATATGAACATGAACATGGAGGAAATGTTCAATGATCAAGAAAATGTAGACAAAAAATAGTTTGTTGACATAGAAGAAAAACTGGTGGAAAAAAACCTAAGTAAGAATATTTGGATGCTAATTAAATTAACCCTACTTCCCACTGTATTTCTCATGGGAGACAATTGTGGGTAAAGAACAGAGTAAGAAGCCTTGATAGGCCAAAAATTATCTCTGAGGGAGGTCCACATGTTATCTTTCACATGGTTAAGGTGACAGCAGTGCTGCAGTCACCCACACAGGAATTACGCACACACATTAAAGTGCACCTCTCATCCTTCTAGTCTTAGATTTTTAATATTCATGGACACCAGTATCTCAGTTCTACTTAGAGTTTTGTTTTCTTTGATGTAAAAAGATCCCATTTTTCTTATAGCTAGTAGGAAACTGTGGAGAAGATAAAGGCAGGATGGTTATCAGTTTGTTGGATCAGCTTTTTGCTTACAATATAATTTCTCAGTGAAAATCTATTTTCCTCTTTCAAAACTGGGCACACGATGCCTATTGTAGCAGACCACAGCTAAGAGCATAATTTTTACATTGGTTCATTTTTACATTGGTATATATATTCAGTATGTACCATTCAAATTGTTCCCAAATATTAACTAGCATGTAGTGAAAAAAAATCAGAATTAAGAGAGTGTGATGAGAGTGTGACTTAATTATTTAAGATATTTATGTACTCTGGAACATAAAAAAAGTAAGATGAAAAATGAGGGTGTTAAGTTACATATTTCACAAGTACTTCTAGTGAGGAAAGTACAAGAGATAAAGTGAGAGACTACTTTTAGATAAAAATATAATATGTGTATATTAATCAATTTAGCTTAATACTTACAATATGAGTGACAAAAAATATAACCCAGAAAAATGAAGGATATAGAGCTTAAGAAAATTGCTGCTCAAGTTACAGCAGTTTAAAATACCCTGACACCAGAATACTCAGTCTTTTTCTACCACTTTGTCCCAGTGATAGACTAAAAGGCAAGGAAAAGAAATATTGTATTCATTCTACATATGGGAACAAGGTCACAGCAAAGTGAACATTTGACATTACGAGTCTGCTATTGGGCCAAAAATGGAACCTGTTTATTTTGACCCTTATTCCAGGGTTTCAGACTTCATCTCTGTGAAAGGTTAACACTTTGCATCTAGATAACATCAGGATCAGATTTTCACAAGCTTTTAGTACCCTCACTGGACGAGGTCTTCTATTCTTTCCACGGAGAGCACTTAACTGATTATCAACTGATAGTCCCTGATTTTAAAATATGCTGAAGGTCAAGGTTAACATTTTAGCAGCTTTCCTATGTGATGACAAAATTTGACAAGGTCTAATTGGTTGTGATTTGTCTTTTAATCTTGTAATCTCTTATTATTGTTCCATTTATATGTGTGAAGATAACAGGATTTAGAGGCATATTGAACTGACATTTCCCTTAGACACGGGAAAAAAGAAACTGTGTATGTACTGATGACATTTCTCTGGATTGATTCAATTAATAAATAAGGGCAAGAAAAAAGCTTAGCTTCTGTCTCCCTCTTTTTTAGTGCTTTGAATAGGCAGGTAGTGAGTAGGGCAACAGTTCTTTTTACCAGTTTTGGAGCTGTTCTTTACATGGTGTTGTCGGGAGGGTACGAAAATCTCTTTACTGTTTGTTCATCAATAATGAGTCTAAAAGTTATATATAGAGAAAAAAGGAAACTGATTCCCTTTAAACATGACAAAAATTCTGTCTGCAGTTCTTAAACTAATGCCTGCTAATATATTAAATTTAAGGCTTGAGAACTTTTACATAAGTTCAAAAGCATCTTCTGAATGTTTATGTAAATAACATATTCTTAAAAGTCTTTGAAACAAGAACATCTACAAAGATAGAATTTTAAGTACTTTTGCATATTTATAAGTGCAGAATTTGCTGATGGTTAATGTACTGTATGTGCAATACACATACAAACCACTCAATAAATGAAGCAATCCCAGAGCAGACCAAACAGAGATGGCATGTGAATATAGTAATATGAATATCATTGCATGTGGAATCCTGACATCGTCTATTTTTATAATTCCTGTGGAGTGAAACTACTCTTCTTTTTATGCAAATGTGAAATTCAGGTGAGAAAAAGCAATTAATTTCCCCAATGTATGATAGGAAATACATGGAAATCCAGGGAGATAGATACTTTTCCAGATCGTTAAGATCTTGGAAATGAAGCTGCCCTTTGTCCCTTTGTGCAGGGCTGTCAATAATACAGGAAACAAGCAGTCCGTTTGCATTTTCACATACAAATATTTGTGTTTAAAAAGGGCAACAATTTTTGGAAACAATTTATAGCATTGGGAATACTGGGTTTTTTTTGTCATATTCTACACACTGGTGTTACAAGAAAGCTGTCAATCATCTTTATTTCATATGATGTTATCATATGAAAGATCACACATTTCACGCATCTTATCATATTAATTTTTATGTACCTTTTATGTCAGGTAATATACCTGACTGAGTTCTGGGATGGGGCATGTTTGTTTATATGTGATAGGAATTTGGATAGATCCTATCTGTTGATGCTAAGTTGATCTCAATAGAGCTTTTGCAGACTATTTTCAAGCTGACTATTTTCATGCAAAGTTATTTGCCTTGTGTTGAACATTAAAGTCACAGCTAAAACTGTTCAGTCATGTCCTAGGTGAAGCTTGGATAAAATATCTCGGTATGTCCATTATTTTTTAAAAAGTATATAGCTTTTACTCAAGATAAACTGTTGCTTCTTCACTAGAAATTCACTAGAAATCACAGTAATTATTGACAAGACCATAGTTTGCTTCAATTTCTAGCAAAGATTGCCACATGTTGCAAGATGATTTGCTTCTGGGGATATCTTTGTACATATTGTTTATAAAAACTTAGAAGTTTTTGTCTGCATGGAGGATACCCCAATATCACACGACTCCTACATGTGATTATGTAGTCTTTTTGCCTGTATGCTAAGATGACTAAATCTTATTAGGTGTAAAAAGGTATCAATTTAATATGTAAAAAAATAATTTACTAGTAGTATAATTGAAATATTGAAAGTCTAAATAAAATACTATTGTCAGTTCAGATGTTATTATTACGCATAAGGAAAGAAAATAAGTTTACTGATGAGACCAAAAACTGAGAGGTGCTATTGACTCTTGGGCAACAAGAAGGTTTGCAGAGGGATCTGGGTAGGTTGCTGCAGTACTGTGTCCCACAATTTAAAAAGATTTTAGTATCTTCTAATATATCTAGAGGAGGGCAACAAAGCTCATGAAAAAGCTGGGAAACATGTCCTGTGAAGAATGGCTAAGGATTTTGGCCTTGTCCGGTTTGTAGGAAAAGAGGCTCAGAGGTGACTTAATTTCTTTCTGCAGCTTCCTGAGAAGTGGAGATGAAGGTACTGACTCTTTTCTCTGGGATTCAATGATAAGACAAGTGGGAATGGTTTCAAACTGTGACAGGGGAATTTCAGATTGGACATTAGGAAGCAATTTTTTATCTAGTGGGTGGTCAAAGCCTGGAAAGTAGAGTGGTGGTTGATGTTGTGTCAGTATTTAGAGGTGTTTGGACAATGCCCTTAGCAACAGGCTTCAACTTTGGATCAGCCTTGAAGTGGCTAAGGAGTTGAAGTAGATGTTTGTAGGCCCCTTCCAACTAATGTATGTTGTTCTGCTCTAAAGAATAAACAAAAAATATATTACTAGAGAATATCTCTCCATAATCATCATAGAATTATAAAACACCAGATTGGAAGGGGCCCTCAGAGATCATCTGGTCCAAACTTTCTTGTCAAAAGCATGGTCCAGACAAGATTAAGCAGCACCCGGTCCATCTGAATTTTAAGTGTCCAACACTTTGGAATCTACCATTTCCCTGGAGAGATTACTCAGAAGTCTGATTGTTTTGAAAAAACTTTCCTCTTGCATATAATCAGATTATCCCTGAAAGTAACTTGTAACCGTTACCCCATATCTTTTCCAAATGACTCCTTCTGAAAAGGGAGTCGTCAACTTCTTTGTAGTCACTCCAGTTTTTCCTGGGTGGATGTTGTCAGGGCCCATCAATTTGCAGAGGTGAAGTTGCAGTAAAATTTACTCACCAACTCATCCTTCAGCGAAGGCGGGTTTCTGTTTATTTCAACCTGGACTTTTGCTCCCCGGGTCGAGCAGTGCTGGTGCAGAGACAGGTGAATGAAGTACTGAGAACCTCTCCCTTTTCAGCATTTTTGGTGACTGATTCACCTCTCTTGTTTAACAGAAGGATAGTACTTTCCTTCTGTTTCTGTTTGTCATTGAACAGTTTCTTGTAGTTTTTGATGTCTCTGGTCAAGACCAGTTTTAGCCAAGCTTTTGCTTTTGTAACTGCATCTCTGCACACCTTGGAAACACTCTTGTGTTTATCAATGGGTCTTCATTTGTTTTGACATTTTTGATATGCTTCTCTTTTGGTTGTGATCAGACTCAAAAGCTTGTAGCTCAGCCAAGGGGATCTCTTGCTCTGCTTACTTCCCTTATCTTTACAGGGGATTAACTGGTTTTTGCTTCCAGAAGTGCATTCTTGAAAAACTCTCAGTATTCACCAGCTCCTTTTTCCTCCAGGGAAGCTTCCACAGAATACCTCCCAGCTGTGTTCTGAGCATGTTGAAGTTTGCTCT